GGTTCCCATAACTCTCTGGAATCTCTGCTGTCTTCTGGCTCTTTCTCTCGCTCTCTCTCTCTGCCATCCTCTGCGTGTCTCTGTGCCCTCTTGTTTTCTCCCTGGTTCTCACTCTCTGTGTCCCTGTCGTACACACAGTTTCTCTGTCTCAGTCCCACTCTTGCCTTCTGTCTGTCTCTCTCTATCTCTCTCTCTCTCTCTCTGTTAGCTTCTGTGTCTCTCTCTGTCGCCTTCTGTCTCTCTCTCTCTCTCTATCAGCTTCTGTGTCGCTCTCTGTCACCTCTCTCTGTCGCCTTCTGTCTCTCTCTCTCTATCAGCTTCTGTGTCTCTCTCTGTCACCTCTCTCTGTCGGCTTCTGTCTCTCTCTCACTCTCTCTCTCTCTCTGTTGCACTCTCTCCCTCTCTCTTACTCTCTCTTACCCTCTATCTCAGTCACTCTCTCTGTCAGCTTTTCTGTCTCTCTCTCTCTCTCTCTCTTTCTCTCCAAGGAGTGGCAGATGATGTTTAATTTAGGTAAACGGGAAGTGTTGCATTTTGGAAGGACAAGTCAGGGCAGGACTTATACACTTAATGGGCAGGTCCTGGGGAATGTTGCTGAACAAACAGACCTTGGAGTACGGGTTCGTAGCTCCTTGAAAGTGGAGTTGCAGGTAGACAGGATAATGAAGGATGTGTTTGGTATGTTTGCCTTTATTGGGCAGTGCATTGAGTATAGGAGTTGGGAGGGTCATGTTGGGGCTGTACAGGACATTGGTTAGGGCCACTTTTGGAATACCGTGTTATTATATAATACCAGGGGAGGCCATGGCCTGGTGGTATTATCGCTGGACTGTTAATCCAGAGGCTCAGATAATGCTCTGGGGGACCCGGGTTTGAATCCCACCGTGGCAGATGGTGGAATTTGAATTCAATAAAATATCTGGAATTAAAAGTCTAATGATGACTGTGAATCCATTGGTCAATTGTCGGAAAAACCCATCTGGTTCACTAATGTCCTTTAGGGAAGGAAACTACCATCCTTACCTGGTCTGGCCTACATGTGACTCCAGACCCACAGCGATGTGGTTAACTCTGAACTGCCCTCTGGGCAATTAGGGATGGACAGTGACACTCCCATCGCATTAATGTATAAAGTAAAAAAATTCTGGTCTCCCTGCTATAGGAAGGATGTTGTGAAACTTGAAATGGTTGAGAAAAGATTTACAAGGACGTTGCCAGGGTTGGAGGGTGTGAGCTACAGGGAGAGGCTGGGGCTATTTTCCCTGGAGCGTCGGAGGCTGAGGGGGGACCTTTTAGAGGTTTATAAAATCATGAGGAGCGTAGATAAGGTAAGTAGCCAAGGTCTTTTCCCCAGGGTGGGGGAGTCCAAAACTAGAGGGGAATAGGTTTAAGGTGAGAGGGGGAAGATTTAAAAGGGACCTGAGGGGCATCTTTTTCACACAGAGGGTGGTGCGTGTATGGAATGAGCAATTGAATGGGGAGGTGGGATTTCGGGAGGGGGGTCAGTCATAAATGGCTGAGCAGTCTGGAGGAACCAAATGGAGTTCTCTGCGCGCATTGTACCTAAGTGTCTAACTAATCCCCCTCTGCCCCATTTCTCTCTCTCTCTTCTCCCCCAATTCCCATCTCCGGCCTCAGTCCCTCCCTCCGTCCCTCAAGCATCCATCCCTACCTCAGTGGCGACAGGTTCCACAGTGGAGCTGAGGTGCAGTGAGAACACAGGCTACCCTCCCTCCACCTTCAAGTGGTTCCGCGACAGCAGTTTAATGCCAACCAATCCGAAAAACAACCAGGTTTTCCAGAATTCCTCCTACACCATCAACCCAGGCACTGGGGTCCTGGTGAGTGGATCCTCACGAGGATCGCGGGGCTCACTCGGGGAGAGGGTGGGATTGAGGTTTTGGGAATGAGATGGGATTGGGGGATCGGGGAGAGGGTGGGATTGAGGGTATAAGAATGAGGTGGGATTGAGGGAATGGGGTTGGGGGGGGGGATTGAAGGATTGGGAATGAGATGGGATTGAGGGATTGGGGTTGAGGGGTTGGGTTGAGAGGTGGGATTGAGGAATTGGGAATGAGATGGGATTGAAAGATCGGGTTGAGGGGTGGGATTGAAGGATTGGGAATAAGATGAGGTTGAGGAGTGGGATTGAGGAATTGGGAATGAGATGGGATTGAGAGATCGGGTTGAGGGGTGGGATTGAAGGATTGGGAATAAGATGAGGTTGAGGAGTGGAATTGAGGGATTGGGGTTGAGGGGTGGGATTGAAGGATTGGGAATGAGATGGGATTGAGAGATCGGGTTGTGGGGTGGGATTGAGGGATTGGGAATGAGATGGGATTGGGGTTGAGGGGTGGGCCTGGGGAAAATCTGGGGGCGATGGGGCCTGTCC